ACAGTTGTGTCGATCTCGAAGGATCCGTGTCGAGCCGAGTCTATTCAGTGCGCGTCCTGCTTAAGGATGCCACAGCCTCCCAGGATCATTACCAACGACAGTCTCGAATGGAGCGGGACCGAGCCAAACTATCAGTCTTTGCCCAGATTGAAGTTTAATGTGTCCATTTATGTCAGGGAAGCCTAGTGAAACCGTGCGGAAATAGATACGAAACGTACATGTATCGGTATGCATGGTTGCGGATTTTAATTATTACCTTCGACAGATACCTTATTTTAAACGGAACTACGCCTTTCATTTACAACAATTTGTTATGTTGAAGGTGATTCAAATCATCTGCGGCGAAATGGTGAAAAATTCGCCTGTAGAAGGATAATTAAATAACTATTCGTCTATACAGAAATTAGGTAATTAAGTAATCTATATATCTACTATAACATTATAATACATATTCAAATAGGCACTAATTTATATCGTTATCATGAAAGCAACCATATGAAGGCGACAAGACTAGTGCACTTAGAACTAGACCTATGCACTACTTATTTTGATATAATTTCTCATGACTAATTTAGTCGAACAAACTAATCTCATATCGGAACAAAATTGTAATGATTTATTTATTTAAGAAGTCCTTGCCTTACAGGTATAAACCCAATTACAAAGCAAGATGACAAGAAAATACAAGAAAAAAGCACAAATACATCTTACATAAGTTAACAAAACAAGAAAATAGCAATAAAAAAGTTGAATAACACAGATTATGATGAAAAAAAAGGAAATGCCAGGGTTTTCAATGAATCAATGCTCTGGAAACGACTGACAGAGTAGGTACTGCTAAAAATATCAAAATTTAATTGACTCTTACATACATCACACGTTAAATACAACGGAGAGAATTTTAAAGCGTTCGTTCTCGGTAAATAAAAGACATTAAAATGCCTTTGAATTGTTCTGAGTACATACAAATTTAATCTTGATAAAATATCATGACAATCAATAAGATTGTTAATTATCTTATACAATGTGATTAGCATAAAGTATTATCTGCGGTTTTTTAATGAAGAAAAGTTAAACCTCCTTAACAAGTCATCATGTGTGATTTGATTTTTTCATAACATAACTCCAATTTACCGGGCCAAGCATTAACATTTGCTTTCAGTACATTATATTGTTTGTTATATTATTCAAATCAAATGTTTTGTAACCTTACTACTCTTTATTTTATTTTTAGTTACAAAATATTTTGCTAACGGTTGCTCCAATGTCGGAGGCTGGTCGTGGGTTCATTGAAATTTTCTTTTTTTATGATTTGTTGAGAGTATAGTAGGCATGAGCGCCAGTCAAATAAAATTGACAAGGATTGGGGGACTACAAAACAACACAAATAATAGATAACACAATGCAATATAAATATCTATTATAAATTATTTACGCCAAATGTAAAAAGTATAAATTTTAATATAAATATAAATTAATTCAGCAATAATTTGATTAATGATAAATTAAGTAAAGTAGAATTTAGTTTTGAACAAATTACATAAAATAAGTAAATTAGATTAGCAAAAAATGATATAATAATTAGGTACTCCAGAAACAGCTGTTTTCCAAGTAAAGCTTATAAAATAATACATGAGTTGCAATTGGAAAATAAGTAATAATAATTATAATATAAAAATATATGCTGCATACGTGCTTTTTAACAAGATGGCGGCGCGGTGTTTCAAATTCCAGGGGTTGATATTAATATGTAACAAATCATCTACTGGCATCATGGAACTTTAAGTAGGTAGGTGTATGGTGACCCTTTTCCTTAGTAAGGTTTGGGTTTCTTTTGCTATGGTTCAGTCAAATCAATCCACTATGCAATAGTAAATAGCACAAATCCCAGACTTCCAGGTTGGAGTTTTAACAATATAATTTTTCCAAAAATTTTCGTTGTTTGTGGATTAAACAGGAAAAATTGTAAAACGAAGAAAGAAGAAAATAAAAGGCCTAAAATAAATGCATTCTGTAGTACCTGGTATAAAAGAACAGATGGTAATACATAAGAAATTAATAGAGTTGAAATTATTCTAGTAGATTAATATTAGTATTAAATAATCTTTTTATTTAAGTTTCTTTTACAATAAAATATAAATTAATCAAAACGATATATGAAAATCTTAAATATTTGTTAATTTAAATGGGTTTAATTACCTTAGTTGTTATTTGGCCTTCTTATTGTAAAAGATATTATTTTACATTAATTATTTGTCTTTCATATATTCTACTAGGTAGCTTAGATCTTCTGTCCTCGCGATTTCGCCAGACCCCTCGTCGCTCGGCGTTTCCCCAAAAAACTTTATCTTTACTTAGTTTTTACTATTGTTTAAATCAGTGTATACCATCCGTCTCTGCAGTACAATTTGCTTTTAATCTCTTATACCAAATGTCATCTTATGTTTTAAATGCATTCATTTTATTTGACATGAGCTGTACAAAGGTTTGCATTTACAATGCCCTAATGTTTATTATTAGTAAACTGTTACAGTTTTGTTTTACATATATCGTACCTTTTTCATCTGATCTATAAATTCTGTACCATTACCACAAATAATGGTTTATTACATGCTAGAATAAAGCATATTTTGCAAAAATCAGCTTTTATAAATACCAGCCAAAAATTTATTAGGAATATCTACTTACAAATTATATATCAATTTACATAAAAGAAAATTCAATCCAATTAAAAAAATAGATAAAATTCAATAAAAGTGTACTTTATCATATTTGGATCTTATATATTCAGGTAGTATATACAAGTTTTTCCTTTACATTACAGTTCACCTTATATACTTAATTTTGTAAAACCAATACAGACCATTAAGGTCATCGACCGGCTGTATCTCGAAAACTATTTGTCCTATAGATTTCGGGAAAAACAATAGTTTCCAAGTTACAGCCGGTCGATAACCTCAATGGGACATCCGGTATACAGGGTGATTCACAAATGGTGACCAAAAATGAAACCTCGTATTCTTTGGTGAATTTTAAGGGGAGTCTTTCCTATAAAGTTTTTATATAGGACGTTAAAAAGATACAGGAGGTTAAACTTAAAAAAATATTTTTAATTTTTTTAAATAATTTAAAAACTAGTAAGTGAAATAATTTAAAATTGGGCACATGTATTTATGTAAACATTGTCCAATATCTGAGGGCTTTTCAAAAACTTTACATGCTCCAGTGGCGGAGATATCTATAGGGTATCGGTGGCATATTTTTCTAAATAAAATAGTAAGCCACTGCTTTACGGTAACGGAATGATATTTTCAAATTCGTCTTCAATTTTCTAGAAATTACTACCCTCTTATATTTTTCGAAAAAAGCCTGATTTTCACGTAAAACTTAAAAAACCAGCTGAAATTTTAATACATACATTTAAGACGCAAAGCAGATATTTTTGATATATCAAACACATCTGAAATGACAAATGTATTCTGAGTATGTCTTGCTGTCAAGAATTTTAATGATAAGCATAAAACCTTTGTCTTCTATATCTTATACTGTCATAGTTACCAGTTCTTATCTCCTCGCGAATGTCTGTCATTAAAATAACCTATAAAAACATCAATATTAGAAAAACTAATACGTCATCATAGGGGAACTTGAGTTACCTTCGTTAAACTCTGCGCCGTGTAGTCTTTTGGATGCAGCGATTTTAAATATGCAGCAATTTCCTTAGAATGTTTCTTACTTTATGAATACCAACGAGTTGATTGACACATTTTTCCATTAGCGTATCTAATGAAAAATACTTTTTGCCTGTTTGGATACTTCAAGAGACAAATATTCTTCATCACTTGAAAGATCCATTTCTCATTCCACTTTATCCATACTTTAACATTTTTTTACTTAATATTCACAGAATTTTGCAACACGGCATTTTCTTCTTACATCTATGATTCAGGTCTCATGGCACCGTGGCCTTATCAGCCCTATTGTGCGTCCTACTATTCAAAACTATTCAGCAAGTAGTTTTGTCCTTTTTACAAAGTCCAAAAGCTTCACTGCCGGCACTTCTTTCAGTTCCTTGGGTTCCAGAAAGAGTTTTCTCAGGAACGTCATTCTACTACGTGTAAATTCTAGGCAGTCGGCCAGGATATGCAGAAAAGTTTCATCCCCCGACTCACATCCTGAACAGACCGGACTGTCTACTAGCCTGAGGTTGTATAGATGTTTCCTAAAGTGACAGTGTCCCGTTATAAGTCCCATCACTTTCCTGAACCAAATTATTTTCCGCTAAGTACACTCCATAATTTCCTTCGCATGGTTTTGCACTAACCTTGAAGTCCAGTATTTCCTATGTTTTGAGTATGTTCATTGGTTCAACACGGCAAGTATAACAAATATGGTGACCAAAACCAACTGACTATAGATACTTTGTCTGATTTATGTGGTGGTTACTTACATGTGGTCTGATTGATACATATTTCTCCCATAAACGTGTATAAGTTTATCGTAAATGTCAACATTTTTACTCTCGCTTTCGTCAATTTTAACAATATTTTGAAACAGTTGTCGAAAAAATACTATTTCATACGGAGTTGCGAAATCATTTTTGGTTCTTTTACTCGCTGGCACAGTAAAATAACTCTCCACTAATTGAATACAAAAACGATAACTTTTTCCTATATATTCACCTAAAATGAATCACCCGGTGTAATTTAAAACTTAATATACCAATGTTCAGTGTCACTTGACATTACCTGACTGAACAGAATCTATTGTTTTCTCTACTCAAATGGGTCTAATAAAATTGTACCCTTGTAGCAGATAAAATAATTTGTCTTTTTACAGGCAATTTCTCCTATCTCTCCCCTATATTTCTTCCCCTTAATTCATTATTATACTGACTGTAATAATTAATTTATTTTAGTGAGACAATTTCATTTGAAATAATTTCCATTTTCTTAGCTTAAAATTTCTTTCAAAAACCACTACCTATTTTCTTTTTTCAGGTGTTGCTGTTGCCTCGAGCATATTCACCATAACAGCCATGGCCATAGACCGATATCTCGCCATAACACGTCCTTTCGGCATGGTCTACAGATGTTTCAATAAAACAACGACAGTGATTGTGATAATCGCTTTGTGGCTCACATCCCTAGCACTCTTCTCGCCTATTCTCTGGATATACAGATTACAGGTTGACGTGTATCCCACAAATAATGAGAACGTGACTGTTGCTGTTTGCATAGAAGATTGGACAAACTTAGTTATTTCTCAGCATTCCTTGGGAATAGTTTGGTTTGTCTTCATGTTCGCAGTGCCAGGTAACGAATTAAAACGTTATTTCAGTAACTCTTCTGAAAATATTTATGTATACGTGCTAAATTTTATGTCGCGACAAATCCAATTGAGGGTATATACAGGGTGTTCTACAAGCTCTATGACAAACTTTGACAGATGGTAGCTGGGTTAATTTCAAACATTTTTTCTTATTTTAATAATTATTATACTAGCAACCATCATTTTCATTTATCAGGCCTAGGGTTTCTGGTCGAGACTTCTCGAAGCGAGAATTCCCGAGAAATCTGGCCTTACTCGAGACGAGAAAAAAGTGTCGAGAAATCGAGAAATTTAAAAATCACGCGCGTCTTAAGTTCTTGACTGGAGTTCGTTTCGTTCATGCGTTCAATTCGTTTTCTCGACAAATAACTGAGCGGTTAAAGTGGTATCTCTTCCAGCTCATGATTTATTTATTTTAAGTTTTTAAGGCTTTTACTTTGATGATTCTTTTTTTTAATGTACAGGGTGATTCACTATATTTTGACCCCCCTTTAACTTTTTTGTTTTAAGAGTTATAAAAAAATGTGAAATACAAAAGTTGCACGATTTTTTATGAAGTTTTCGAAAATGATAGTAGAAAAACAAATGAAGTTCAAACAAAATGGCCGCGGATGTTAACTTTGTTAATTTAAATGGAACACCCTGTATATTTTTACATATTTGGATAGAACGTTCCTTGTCGAGCATAGTCATATAGGGTTTGTTGGGTCCATCTCTAATAATAGGCGAGATAATATTAAAAAACGAAATGATGTTTTTTTATTAAGAAAATAAGACATCTTGTAATTGTTAGACCTCTTTCAGGCATTTCTGCCTTTTTTCCAATTACGTAAGGATTTAGATTTAGTTGTAATATATTTTGACATATCGGACATTGATATAGTCCAAAATGCGTATAGGTATTTTAAGTAAATCTCACTAATTAGACCGTGTGAGGCCAATTACTCATGGACAATCTTATATATGGTAGGTCGTGACAGTGACAGGTAGTAATGTCATGATAACATTGTTATTGTTTGACAGTTTGTATTAGTATTTAATTAAAATGGGTTACACAGAAGTAGAAAATTGAAATATTATTAGGAATTAAAATAAACTATGGAGAATATCTTAACTACTCTATCTTAATTCCTATAATATTTAAATTTTCTACTTCTGTGTAACCCATTTTAAATAAATAATAATACAAACTGTCAAACAATAACAATGTTGTCATAATATTACCTGTCACTGTCACGGCCTACCATATAACATTGTCCATGAGTAAATAAGCCCCTCACGGACTAATTAGTGCGATTTAGTTAAAATACTTATACCCATTTTGGACTATATCAATGTTCGATATGTCAAAATATATTGCAAATAAATCTAAATCCTTACGTAATTGGAAAAAAGGCAGAAATGCCCGAAAAACGTCCAACAATTACAAAATATTTTATTTTCTTAATAAAAAACGTTCTTTTCGTTTTTTAATATTATCTCGCTTATTGTTAGAGATGGACCCAACAAACCATATATGACTGTGCTCGACAGGGAACGTTCTATCCAAATGTGTAAAAATATACAGGGTGTTCCATTTAAATTAACAAAGTTAACATCCGCGGCCATTTTGTTTGAACTTCATTTGTTTTTCTACTATCATATTCGAAAATTTCATAAAAAATCGTGCAACTTTTGTATTTCACATTTTTTTATAACTCTTAAAACAAAAAAGTTAAAGGGGGGTCAAAATATAGTGAATCACCCTGTACCTAGTTATAAGTCTGTGTAGAAATTTTATTATAAGCAGATACCTAATGTTGAAGTGATAAATTAATAGGAAGAACGCTTCTGTATCTTTAAATTAAAGCTTGTTTTTTTTTAAGATTTCTTCGGTTAAATTCCTTATTTACTATTTATTTAATTAAAAGACTGCATGATTAATGATTATTAATAATTATTATTGGAAGAAAACTACGATTCAAAAACATTGAAATAAACATAAGTATATTGAAAGTGTTTAATAAAAAAACAAGTTAAAGGTTTTTAAGAAGAAACTCAAAGTTTAATTTAGTTTTGTTAGTAGAAGTAGAAACATAAGTAATTAATAAAAATACTGAATAAATAATAAATGTTAATGATGATTGTTAAGTATAATAGCATGTTTATATTTCGCATTGCAATACCAAAATTATGACTTTTTTAAGTTTTAGAAATTTCTCGAGAATTCGAGAATTCCCGGAAATTCCTAGTCGAGAATTCTCGAGACCCGAGAAAAAAAATAGGCCGAGAAATCAGAAACCCTAATCAGGCCGCTTTGATTGAAATATGAAATTATATTTTTTAAAATGCTTTTAACTTCTAAACAAAAACGATCTGGCCTATGCTCATATCCAGCTACCATCTACTAAAGTTTGTCATAGACCTTGCAGAACATCCTGTATAAGGTTGTTGGTTTCTAAGTTTATCAAAAATAGTAAATAAAAAAGTAGTAGCTCTCTAGTAGAAATTTTGTTGGACGATATTCAACTTTGTACAGGGTGTTCTTAAAAAGCGTGGGAAACTAAATTTGTTTTTTTTTTATTGAAATTATTTAACAACATTTTCAGTAGTACCCCGATTTGGCTACATTAATTGTCCTGAAAATAGCTCTAATTTAATAAGTCCACTGAATACATTTTTCTGTGGTTACCTTAAAAACAAAATTAGTGAATCTGGATACATATTTGAGGGATTCCTTGAAAAACACACTTGTGCAAAAACGTTTCGTAATAAAATAAACCAAGAAACAGAATTAACCAGGAAACCAGGAAATAATACCAAAAGCAATATAAATAAATTAATCGCAACTACATGTTATGCTGAAGGTCACTTTTGACATTTATTCTAGACTTGAATAAAATTATGTATATATTTATTTATTAATTTTTTCATGTTGATAAAAAAGAAAAACGTAGGCGAATGCCTAAACATCTTCCTACATTTCTTTCTGTTCTACAAACATTATGTCTCGACAATGGAATGAAAATATGTTTTTGACTGTTTTGAAATGCAAATTTTATTTTAAATGAAAATGGCCTCGACTTTTTTAGGTTTTCGCACAGCTAATAAACGCCCTGAAAATAATAGAAAGATCATTTTTATTCAAAATAAAATTACAGTAGTATGCCACCATTTTTAAAAAAAATTTACTCAACATACCTTATGCCTACGCCATTAGTTTGAGTTGACATTTAATATTTTCAAGTTAAAAGGACTTTTATTCATGTATATTGTATACGCAAGATTATCTGCAGTTAGGGAAATGATGACGTAACATTTTTTCACTACAAACCACTTTGTCTTAAAAATGGAGGCTTTAAATACTTATTTAAGAAAACATTTTAAAATTTGAAGTAGAAAAACACTCCATTTTTGACACATTGTAGTATTACTCCCTGTATAACATAATATTTTTATCTGCATAATATTAAAAAAACCTTATAAAATCAGAAAAGTATAACTGTTTCTACTCATACATGTGAAAGTAAGAGATTTTTTAAAGCATAATCAATATGAAATAACATTTTTTTCTTCTTTACTAATTTAGTCTCTTAAACATTTACATGATGTCACTCGATGTGACTCTTTACATGCAACAGCGGCAATTTTAAATAAAATATTTGTGTTGATATGTGGAAAGACCTAAAAAGTAACTAGTAATTTGTTATATAGTTTTGAATAAAATTGAACAGAGAATTATATATCAATAAAAAAAAGCTTATAGGTACAATTAGGGATGAATTTTTTTCTCGAATTTGTGTATTAAAAAAAAACGGTATTTGTTGCATCTATCTTCTTGTAAAAATGTGTCAAACTTTTTTCCCGCCGAAAATATACTTTTAGTACGTTTAGAAAAAAACCTTGTCATGAAATTTGTTGTTCCAATAATCGTAACAGAAACAAATTACATTTACATTGTAATTATTTTTACAATTGTGAAATTATTACCAAGAAATTGTAGATTTTCTTAAATTTTCAAACAATTTTGAATGAAATTTTGATACAATTCGTTCTTATCCCGATTTTACGAGCAATTGTGTAAATTTTTATGACTATATTTTCTGTATGAATTTTGCTAAATGACTTACATATTAGTAGGCATCTTAAATTACTGTTTTTTGATTTATTGCAATAAAAAGATTATGGCCGTATTATACAGGCTGTTTTATAAAAAACGCCCCAAGCTGTAACTCTGTTATTAATTGTTCTATTTAAAAAAAAAACAAAAAACTGTTGTTAATAGCTTGATAAATACTACAATCGAGCACTGATTTTAATTTTTTTTGCCATCATTAGAACGTTAGGCGATTTTCAATTGTTTTTTCTTAAATGTCAAGTTATTATTTTTTTTGGCCGTTCTGCTTGGGCACTATTTTTATTACATTGAAAGTATACTTGCAACATGTCGGTCAGTTCATTAGTGTTCATATTTTTTAAGTTACAATAATTTCTTTGTAATTATTAACCACTTGACAATACACTGATACGTATTTTGCCTAGGAAATGACGCGTACGTCACGTTTAATGCTTCTAAATTTAATTGTTTTCATGGCAAATTTGACATTTTCGTCAGAAGTTACCGTGAATTAGACTCTAATAAATTTTGTAAAAAAATATTTTTTTCATAAAATATTTAACAAATGCAGAAAAAATACTAATTTTTCTGTAACGGGAAAAAAGTTTGACATTTTATTTCTGTTGACAGGTAACAAAATGTCACTTTTTATGAAATTGTTGTTTTCCCCGGGAAAAAAGTGAGTACTTTTTTCCCGGATATATACAATATACATAAGTAAAGGTAGATATTTAATTTTAGAATATTTTATCATATAGAAGTTACATTTCCTTTACACCAAAAGTACAATTATTAAATATACATTGCATAAATGACATGTTTCTTAAACTATTCGGTATAACAGTCGAACTTTCTTGTGTATTTTTTTCTGTCATGGACACAACAGCC